AATTAGTGAGTGGCAAACTGATTTCATTAGGAATGCTCACAGAGGGCCTATTTTAGTTGTGCAATCGCTTACAGAAGATAAATGTTCAACAGGCAGAGAGGCAAAGGAGGGTGTAGGGTCTGAGGGAAGGGAAGAGAAACATGGCGGAAACTTCCTCGCCTCCCGCATCTGGCACGCCACCACCGAGGGACTTTCCCACCCTCTGCATCTGCCACCAGTTGAACAGAAACATCGTCTCCCATTGGCCAGGACAGGACGCCATGATGCAGTGGCAACCGCTCATTGGACAAGGGCTCCTATAAGAATGAGCAACAGTGCTTTGTGTGCGACTCCCCCGGCCTCTGTTCAGACTGCAGGACCTCACCCAAGAGCTTTCTCACAGAATAAATTTTACTGGCTTTGCTAAATCCCAAGCCTGACTTTGGTTCTTCCATCTTTGCCGCCTCTGACTCTGCCGCCAGTCCTAAGTCTGGCCTAACAGAGGGCATTCCACAAAGTAGAAATTGAGTTGGGGCCTAGAGGCTCCATGGCATGCCCGAGAAATGTGGAGCTCAGTGTGGCTCCCCTGCGGGAGTGGGAATGAGCTATGGGCCACCGGCTGCAGTGAAGGTGAGGACGGAAGACAGAACAGAGCAAAACTGCAGAGGATCTGCATGCCTAAGAGAGAAACAATGCATTTTTACTTCTAAATCACATTTTTTAAAAATTTATTGAGAGAGAGAGAGAGAGAGCCCCTCAACAGGGTCTTGTCATGCTGCAATCTTCCCCGGCCTTCCTGTCACCCTAAATCACAGGTGCCTACAGGTGTAACCGCATATTCAAGTCAACCTAGGGTCTGGACCTTGGGCCTTCCCACAGCAGCTTTCTGTACCACTGCAGCTGAGCCTAAATCATGTTTTTTATGAATCCAGTAAGGCTGAGTATGCCAGGATTGCTCTGTCTTGGGTATAACTTGGAAGTGCAGTGGATTGGAATCAGAATTTGAGCTGCGTCATCTACCAGATGAATAACTTTGGACGAAGCACTTAACCTTTCTGGTCCTCAGTGTTCTCACCTGCGAAAACGTGCTTTGTGAGGATTAAGGCAGAAGAGACAGGTGAAGGCACCAAGGACATCACCCACCCGTCAGGAGTTTTGCAATAAAGCTTGGTCTCCTCCTCCCTCCCCTTCTCTTAGGAGGGCTTCTGCAAAGCAAGCATTTCACTACCGGCCCTGAGTTCCAGAGCTCCACTGCTGCTTTTACCCACATTTCACTTCAGTGGTTCTCAGACCTGGAGCTTGAGTCACCTGGAAGACGTGTTCAGTCAGAGACGGCATGCCCCCAAGTCCTGGACCTTCTGATTCAGTAGATCTGGGGTGGGCCCTAAGAACTTGCATTTCTTTGTTTTATTAATCTTATCTTTTAATTGCTAGAGGGTGTATGCACTCGGAAGAGAGAGACAGAGACAGAGAAAGGAAAAAAGTGCTCGCCAAGGAAGTGTTGTCGCAGCACAATTCCTCTATCCCACTGGGATTTGGGGCAGGGTTGCCTGATGTGTCCCTTCAGTTTCCAGGGCTGGGACTTGAACTGTGGTTGACCATGTGGGATCTGGCTTCCCCAACCACTGGGCTATGGGGCTGGCCCAAGAATTTGCATCTCCAACAAGTTCCCAGATGCTGTGAATGCTGCTGACCCGGGTGCCACATGTGGGAGCCTCTATCTGACCTCATTCTGCCCGGGGCAGACCTCGTTGCACGCTGCTCTGGTAGCCACCCCCTGGTCCCG